AAGCTGGTGTGAAAGCCTTCCTTTGAGTCCTAGGAGTGATATTCAAGGAGTTTCAGTGGCCTGAGACGAGTTTCGCACGTCTCCCTTTGCCGGTAAGCAAAAGGGGACCAAAAGAGACCAAAACTGGAACTTGGGTCCAAAAGCGCCAGAAAGTGCCAAAAGGGGAGAAGCTGGTGTGAAAGCCTTCCTTTGAGTCCTAGGAGTGATATTCAAGGAGTTTCAGTGGCCTGAGACGAGTTTCGCACGTCTCCCTTTGCCGGTAAGCAAAAGGGGACCAAAAGAGACCAAAACTGGAACTTGGGTCCAAAAGCGCCAGAAAGTGCCAAAAGGGGAGAAGCTGGTGTGAAAGCCTTCCTTTGAGTCCTAGTAGTGATATTCAGGGAGTTTCAGTGGCCTGAGACGAGTTTCGCACGTCTCCCTTTGCCGGTAAGCAAAAGGGGACCAAAAGAGACCAAAACTGGAACTTGGGTCCAAAAGCGCCAGAAAGTGCCAAAAGGGGAGAAGCTGGTGTGAAAGCCTTCCTTTGAGTCCTAGTATTGATATTCAAGGAGTTTCAGTGGCCTGAGACGAGTTTCGCACGTCTCCCTTTGCCGGTAAGCAAAAGGGGACCAAAAGAGACCAAAACTGGAACTTGGGTCCAAAAGCGCCAGAAAGTGCCAAAAGGGGAGAAGCTGGTGTGAAAGCCTTCCTTTGAGTCCTAGGAGTGATATTCAGGGAGTTTCAGTGGCCTGAGACGAGTTTCGCACGTCTCCCTTTGCCGGTAAGCAAAAGGGGACCAAAAGAGACCAAAACTGGAACTTGGGTCCAAAAGCGCCAGAAAGTGCCAAAAGGGGAGAAGCTGGTGTGAAAGCCTTCCTTTGAGTCCTAGGATTGATATTCAGGAGTTTCAGTGGCCTGAGACGAGTTTCGCACGTCTCCCTTTGCCGGTAAGCAAAAGGGGACCAAAAGAGACCAAAACTGGAACTTGGGTCCAAAAGCGCCAGAAAGTGCCAAAAGGGGAGAAGCTGGTGTGAAAGCCTTCCTTTGAGTCCTAGGAGTGATATTCAAGGAGTTTCAGTGGCCTGAGACGAGTTTCGCACGTCTCCCTTTGCCGGTAAGCAAAAGGGGACCAAAAGAGACCAAAACTGGAACTTGGGTCCAAAAGCGTCAGAAAGTGCCAAAAGGGGAGAAGCTGGTGTGAAAGCCTTCCTTTGAGTCCTAGTATTGATATTCAAGGAGTTTCAGTGGCCTGAGACGAGTTTCGCACGTCTCCCTTTGCCGGTAAGCAAAAGGGGACCAAAAGAGACCAAAACTGGAACTTGGGTCCAAAAGCGCCAGAAAGTGCCAAAAGGGGAGAAGCTGGTGTGAAAGCCTTCCTTTGAGTCCTAGGAGTGATATTCAGGAGTTTCAGTGGCCTGAGACGAGTTTCGCACGTCTCCCTTTGCCGGTAAGCAAAAGGGGACCAAAAGAGACCAAAACTGGAACTTGGGTCCAAAAGCGCCAGAAAGTGCCAAAAGGGGAGAAGCTGGTGTGAAAGCCTTCCTTTGAGTCCTAGGAGTGATATTCAAGGAGTTTCAGTGGCCTGAGACGAGTTTCGCACGTCTCCTTTGCCGGTAAGCAAAAGGGGACCAAAAGAGACCAAAACTGGAACTTGGGTCCAAAAGCGCCAGAAAGTGCCAAAAGGGGAGAAGCTGGTGTGAAAGCCTTCCTTTGAGTCCTAGGAGTGATATTCAGGAGTTTCAGTGGCCTGAGACGAGTTTCGCACGTCTCCCTTTGCCGGTAAGCAAAAGGGGACCAAAAGAGACCAAAACTGGAACTTGGGTCCAAAAGCGCCAGAAAGTGCCAAAAGGGGAGAAGATGGTGTGAAAGCCTTCCTTTGAGTCCTAGGATTGATATTCAGGGAGTTTCAGTGGCCTGAGACGAGTTTCGCACGTCTCCCTTTGCCGGTAAGCAAAAGGGGACCAAAAGAGACCAAAACTGGAACTTGGGTCCAAAAGCGCCAGAAAGTGCCAAAAGGGGAGAAGCTGGTGTGAAAGCCTTCCTTTGAGTCCTAGTATGATATTCAAGGAGTTTCAGTGGCCTGAGACGAGTTTCGCACGTCTCCTTTGCCGGTAAGCAAAAGGGGACCAAAAGAGACCAAAACTGGAACTTGGGTCCAAAAGCGCCAGAAAGTGCCAAAAGGGGAGAAGCTGGTGTGAAAGCCTTCCTTTGAGTCCTAGGAGTGATATTCAGGGAGTTTCAGTGGCCTGAGACGAGTTTCGCACGTCTCCCTTTGCCGGTAAGCAAAAGGGGACCAAAAGAGACCAAAACTGGAACTTGGGTCCAAAAGCGCCAGAAAGTGCCAAAAGGGGAGAAGCTGGTGTGAAAGCCTTCCTTTGAGTCCTAGGATGATATTCAGGAGTTTCAGTGGCCTGAGACGAGTTTCGCACGTCTCCTTTGCCGGTAAGCAAAAGGGGACCAAAAGAGACCAAAACTGGAACTTGGGTCCAAAAGCGCCAGAAAGTGCCAAAAGGGGAGAAGCTGGTGTGAAAGCCTTCCTTTGAGTCCTAGTATTGATATTCAAGGAGTTTCAGTGGCCTGAGACGAGTTTCGCACGTGTCCCTTTGCCGGTAAGCAAAAGGGGACCAAAAGAGACCAAAACTGGAACTTGGGTCCAAAAGCGTCAGAAAGTGCCAAAAGGGGAGAAGCTGGTGTGAAAGCCTTCCTTTGAGTCCTAGTATTGATATTCAAGGAGTTTCAGTGGCCTGAGACGAGTTTCGCACGTCTCCCTTTGCCGGTAAGCAAAAGGGGACCAAAAGAGACCAAAACTGGAACTTGGGTCCAAAAGCGTCAGAAAGTGCCAAAAGGGGAGAAGCTGGTGTGAAAGCCTTCCTTTGATCCTAGTATGATATTCAAGAGTTTAGTGCCTGAGACGAGTTTCGCACGTCTCCCTTTGCCGGTAAGCAAAAGGGGACCAAAAGAGACCAAAACTGGAACTTGGGTCCAAAAGCGTCAGAAAGTGCCAAAAGGGGAGAAGCTGGTGTGAAAGCCTTCCTTTGAGTCCTAGGAGTGATATTCAGGAGTTTCAGTGGCCTGAGACGAGTTTCGCACGTCTCCCTTTGCCGGTAAGCAAAAGGGGACCAAAAGAGACCAAAACTGGAACTTGGGTCCAAAAGCGTCAGAAAGTGCCAAAAGGGAGAAGCTGGTGTGAAAGCCTTCCTTTGAGTCCTAGTATTGATATTCAAGGAGTTTTAGTGGCCTGAGACGAGTTTCGCACGTCTCCCTTTGCCAGTAAGCAAAAGGGGACCAAAAGAGACCAAAACTGGAACTTGGGTCCAAAAGCGCCAGAAAGTGCCAAAAGGGGAGAATGATATGAACCCCATTTGCACAAGGGCTGACTTAGGATCTTTAGGGTTAGAACCTTGTAGAAAAAAATTGAAAATTTAGTGATGAATTTCTGGGCAAATTAGGTGTTGGTCCATGGTGTTAAAATGAGTGAAAAAGGAAGCAAAAACGCTAGTTTGGTGGTGGCTGGACAGAATTTTAGAAATGACGGTATCTCGAGTTATAGAACTCCAATTGAGGTGATTCCAAAACGAGGTGAAAGTCCTCGTTCTGAAATGCAATTTAGGCTCAAGAATCACTCAATTTGGCTGAGTAGAATGAGAGTTACGATAACGAAATAATTCTGGGTAGATTTGAGTTTTTTTGGAACTTTGGTGAAGAATTGAATGGGGGAAGGATAGAATCACTCTTTCCAAGGAAGGCAACACACAAAGGGATGTGAAAGCCCTTTGATACAGCCAAGGTGTTCTTGAATCACTCAAGAACTTAGGAGAATCACTCTCACTAAGATAAAAGAGATAAACTCTAATATTTCTGAATCAAACTTAACTTGTCTTATTGATAGGAATGGTTCAGCTTATATAGAAGCTTTACCATCAGAATTACAAAGGTTCCGTAACGGAAAATGAAACTACTTGATGGCTGATTGTAACTGAAATTGTGGCAACCAAAAAGTCACCCAACAGCCACTAGCTATGTGCCTCTTGGTCTTCCAAAGGCTGATGCCTAAGTTGCCAATTGGGCCCTTATTACAACTTGAAATAAAACCAAACCAAAGCCCATTAGTTGATTAACCACAAAACATAATTTGGTCAGCCAACTTTACAAAGGATTGGGCCATTATTTAAAACAAACTAAAACCTTAAAAACTGAAGCAAAGTGGCGCCTTAGTTCTCCTCCATTTGGGCCATGATGCAATTCACAACCTTGGTCTTTTCTCCTTGAAACTTGGGCTTGTATTCAATTAATATGGACAACACTTGTTGAAGAGATTCTTTTGCTCTCCTTGCTCTAGCCCTTGTCATAGGTCCTCCAAGTCCTTCAAGAGGATCCTTGCCCTTGCTCATGGTCATGTCCTCATCATTCTCTCCCTCTTGAGAAGGATTTGTCCTCAAATCGGATTCTCCATCTACATCAAAAAGAGATAAGTCAGACACATTGAAGGTGGAACTAACATTATACTCACCCGGCAGCTCAATTTTGTATGCATTGTCATTGATTCTTTCAAGCACTTGGAATGGACCATCTCCCCTTGGTTGAAGCTTTGACTTCCTTTGTTCCGGAAACCTTTCCTTTCTCATGTGCACCCAAACCCAATCTCCGGGTTCGAAGATAACCTTCTTTCTCCCTTTGTTGGCTTGTTTAGCATAGCTTTCATTTCTCCTCTCAATTTGATTTTTGACTCTCTCATGAAGCTTCTTCACATAGTCCGCCTTTGCTTGACCTTCTTTATGCTTAAAAACTTTTCCTCTTTTATGTTTGATAACATAAGGAATTGCTCTAGAAATTCCACCCACTTGGCATGCCTTTTGTTAAGCTTGCCTTGTCCCTTGATATATTTGAGGGACTCATGGTCACTATGAATGACAAATTCCTTGGGATAAAGGTAGTGTTGCCATGTTTTCAAAGCTCTCACTAAGGCATACAACTCTTTATCATAAGTTGAATAGTTAAGGGTAGGACCACTTAGCTTTTCACTAAAATAAGCAATTGGATGGCCTTCTTGGAACAACACAGCCCAATCCAACATTTGAAACATCACACTCAATTTCAAAAGATTTTTGAAAGTTTGGCAAAGCAAGTATGGGGGCATTAGTTAGCTTTTGCTTAAGAGCTTTGAAAGCTTCTTCTTGTTTCTCTCCCCATTTGAAACCAACATTTTTCTTAAGCACTTCATTGAGAGGTGCTGCCAATGTGCTAAAATCCTTCACAAATCTCCTATAGAAACTTGCTAAACCATGGAAACTTCTCACTTCAGTCACGGACTTAGGTGTAGGCCATTCTTGAATAGCCCTAACCTTTTCCTCATCCACTTGTACTCCTTTTGAACTTACAACAAAACCAAGAAACACAACATGGTTAGTACAAAAGATGCATTTTTCAAGAATGGCATACAATTGTTCTTCTCTAAGCACACACAAGACAGATTTTAAATGATCAACATGCAATTCAAGTGAAGTGCTATAGATAAGAATATCATCAAAGTACACCACAACAAATTTTCCTATCAATTTTCTCGAAACATGGTTCATTAATCTCATGAAAGTGCTAGGAGCATTAGTTAAGCCAAAAGGCATAACCAACCATTCATACAAACTATATTTTGTTTTGAAAGCAGTTTTCCATTCATCCCCTTCTCTAACCCTAATTTGATTGTATCCACTTTTTAAATCAATTTTAGAGAAGTAACATGCACCATGCAATTCATCAAGCAAATCATCAAGCCTAGGTATAGGATGCCTATATTTAATGGTGATGTTATTAAGGGCTCTACAATCAGAACACATGCCCATGTCCCATCCTTTTTAGGAACCAAAATTACCGGGACAGCACAAGGACTCATGCTATCTCTTACCCATCCTTACCAATGAGTTCATCCACTTGTCTTCGGATCTCCTTGGTCTCTTGAGGGTTGCTTCTATAGGCTGGCCTATTAGGCAAAGAAGCTCCTGGAATGAGATCAATTTGATGCTCAATACCTCTTAATGGTGGCAACCCACTTGGTACACTTGTTGGAAACACATCTCCAAATTCCTGCAAAAGAGACTTCACTCTAGAAGGCAAATCAAGGTTATCAAAAGTGTTAGTGGTCAAAACATAGTTTTTGCAAATTAACAAAAATAGGGGCTGCTTAGATAGAAACAACCTCTTGACCTCACTTTTTGTAGCTAATAAGCTCTCCTTCACCTCAAGTGTTTCACTCTTCTTTTTCCTCTCATGTGTTTCTCTCTTTTTGTCCTCACTTTTTGAGCTCTCAAGTGTTTGGCTTTCTTTTTCTTTCTTTTCTTGGACAATCTTTTCTCTCATTTTTCTTTGATCCTCACACACCTCTTGCGGACTCAAAGGTTTGAGCACTATCTTTGTCTTGGTGCATGAATGAGATTTTGTTGGTGAAACCATCATGATTGGCTCTTTTATCAAATTGCCATGGTCTCCCCAAGAGTAAGTGGCTGGCCTCCATAGGAACAACATCACAAAGCACCTTATCATTGTATCTTCCAATGGAAATATCCAACTCTACTTGCTTCCTTACTTGCACCTCTCCATCCTCACTAAGCCATTGAAGCCTATATGGCCTAGGATGTGGCTTTGTAACTAAATTCAATTTAGTCACAAGTCTTGCACTCGCCACATTGGTGCAACTCCCTCCATCAATGATCACCATGCAAAGTTTACCATTGATCAAACATCTAGTATGGAAGATGTTTTCTCTTTGGCTCTCCTCCAAAGGCTTCAATTGGCTACCAAGTAACCGCCTTATCATCAACAAGTCTCCCTCTGGTGTTTTCTCCACCTCCTCCTCCACGTCCTCATTCTCCTCTCCCTCTTCAATTTCGGACTCACTTATATACTCTTCATCTCTAAGAATCATGGTTTTTTTGTTAGGGCACTCATATGCATAGTGTCCTAAGCCTTGGCACTTAAAGCACTTCACATCCCGACTCCTTTTAGAGGGTTGCTCTTGAGTTTTTAGAGGAGTTTTTGTTGGTGTAGGCGCTGCACTAGAAGTGGCAGCCCCTTTTCCCTTATCCTTCCAACTAGAAAAACCAAAATTAGTGGAGCTCCTTTTGGCCACACCTTTCCTTTTCAATTGTTGCTCCACTTGGATTGCTTTGTGAAGCAAGTCCTCCATTTCAACAAATTCCTGCAGTTCAACAATATCACAAATATCATTATTCAAACCACTAAGAAATCTAGCCATAGTTACCTCCTCATCCTCTTCTATCTTGGCTTGAATCATGAGCACCTCCATTTCCTTGTAGTACTCCTCAACGCCTTTGCTACCTTGGGACAATTTTTGAAGTTTGAATTTTAAGTCCCTAGAATAGCTTGCCGGCACATATCTCTTCCTCATGATCCTTTTCATTTCAACCCATGTATCCACCAATGGCTCCTCATTCCTAGCTCTCTCTTTTTGCAATTTGTTCCACCACACAAGAGCGTAATCGAAAAACTCCGTAGCTGCAAGCTTTACCTTTTGGGCCTCTTCGTAGGTATTACAAGTGAAAATATGCTCTATTTTGATCTCCCACTCCAAATAAGCTTCCGAGTCACTTCTTCCTTTGAATGGAGGAATAGAAATTTTGACTCCATCAATTTGGTTTTGTCTAGGAGCACTGTCATTACCTCTTCTCCTCCTTTCTTCTTCATCATGACCTCTATTCTCCAATTGGTCCAATCTTTCATGGAGCTCATCATTTTGTTGCCTCATCAATCTCTCCAAATGTTGTGTCAAGGCTTGCATTTGGAAAGAAGAAAGTCCTCCTCCTTGATTAGGATTTCCTTCAGCCATCACAAACAAACAAATTCAAACGTAACAAGCAAATAGAAAGTAGAATTTGAAACCTCACCACACTCAAGTGTATCACACAATTATGGCTTTTTCTCTAATGAAAACACTCTTTCCTTTTACCACTCAAATTCTCCTTGGGTTCTTAGGCAATTCAAGATATTATGGCCACAACAAAGAACAATCCACCAATATGTGCAAGGTAAGGCTAGGTAGACAAAGAAAAGGCTAACAAATCACAAAAACAAAGAGGTAAAGGAAAATTGGTAAACAAGAGAATTAGCAACAATCCTTTAAGAACACCAATATATTACCTTATAATAAATTGTTGAAAGCATGAATCATTCAGCCCAAAATTTTCTTCTTTTTTTTTGTTTTTTTTATACAATTTTTTTTTTTGAATTTTCACAAGGGCCTAACTTTTGCAATGATT